AATATTGGGGTCCTTGCAAAAGTCAATTGATTGGTCAATTTATTTTGATTTTTTGTTAGATTTTTTTTAGTTTTGACTTTGATTTGTCTTATTAACACCAAATTTGCATTACTTGGTTTGCAACTTGCCGAGTGTTCCGTCATCTTTTGGCAACTAGGGAGTTAAATCTGTTTTCCACTAGATAAAATTTGGTATGGTAATTCCACAAGTGGAGAAAACTCTTTTTTCTGAAAAATGTGACTTAACACACCTTATCTCTGAGGTGCTGAATTTTTTTTATTGATAATCATGGTTTCATAATAAACATAAATTACTTTTTGTATATGTTGCAAACTGTTTAATGATAAATCAGGTCTATTTTGAAATTCGCCTACATCACTCATTGGATCCAAGTTTTTCGCATTACAAAAAAATGCAGGTAGTATTGAATGGCACCGGATATACGCTGTCGTGGTCCCTTTTGTTGTATTAAAAAAAGTTGATATTACGTTAGCTCGTAGTATCGGTTTCATCGACCTCATATGTTTTGTCCCGTGTGATACTTAGATTTCCTTATTTATTTATTTATTTACGTTTAATATTATAATAATTTTATGATAATTTGCGTTATCTTAATTAAATGCATTTTTTTCAACTTCAGAATGTAAACCAAATTTTGTATCGCAAATTTTAATTACATAACAGCGAAGTTTGAAGATATTAAGTTTGACAAGAAGTCCCTGTGGCACGTTTTTTTTTATAATATTCTTAAATCATTTTGATTATGCATCAATTAATTTTATATAAAATTATTTAGTGTATAATTAGTTATCGATGTTAAATAATTTTGAATTAATTTGTATAGCAGAAGTAAAATTATATCAGTACTCTATATCATACATTATTAAATGCAATATCACCAAAATGCGACATCTTGTCGATTTACATTGAATTGCAAAGGGATAAACATACATTTTTCAATGTAACGTACATAGCTGGGTATAAGTAATACATGCTAAAAAGAACTAGTTATGAGTTCAAAAATATTAAAATAATTGATACTTCTTTAAAAAAAGTAAACCTATTGGCGCTATAAAATATTCGGTGGTTCTTAAAAAAAAAATATAGTAAAGTATCAACAGAATATAGCAAAGTCTGTTTAAATAAATAACATTTTTTAAATTTTATAAAAAATTGCTGTGTTAAAAAGACTTAAACAGATCATTACAAATTTGATTATATCAAAACGATTTATAGGCATAATAAGTATTAACAGTTGTTTTCTATAAACTTGACATAAATACTTCACAGAATTCTACACATTTTGCGTAATTTTAATTTCGTTTCGCAATAGTGTATTGACTTCGATACTGTTACCGTGAAGTACCGAAGGTGGTACCGTGACTGCCAATAGACACAATAGGTAGTGCAAAAGTTAAAAAAAAAAACTTGCATAAAATACGCATGTAATTTGGAGATTGTTTATTATGCACAGCAGGAATACTTAGAAACTGATTTGATCATATTTGTTTTGTTTTTTTTAATTATAATTAATTAGATCCAAAAAAATTACATTGTATATTCCTTAGAACATATATAGTCAGGAAGGAGCATGCCATGTCTGCGTTAATCTAATCGATCTGACGGAAGTGGCAGCCATGTTGTACTATGGATGACTCATCATCATATGATAAATGGTTTCTAAAATTGGTTTATAATTTTACTGATTACAATTTGTTAATAATTTGGATGTTTTATGTGTTAATTTAAACTTTTATCAAGCGTATGTTTTGTAGACATTTTTAAAAAGTGTTTAGTGTTTTAGTATTTATTTAGTATTACTGTTAATTTTAAATTTTCCGCGTTAAAAAACAGACAAGACAATATGGTCAGTTGTTCGTCTTATGGATATGGCAGCACAGCTAAAAGTAGAAAGGAATAATCTACATTTTATAAGCAAGTATTTTGTTCCCTCAATTTTCAACCACATTAAAGATTTTTTAAATTTTTAATGTGTAAACAAACATGGTAAGTGCGTCTGCGATCAACTGTGCTCATATGCGTAGTCTCATGGTTTATAGGGTATACATACTTTTATTTAAACAATTCTTTTATACAATTTTAAAATATTTATGTGGTTGTTAAAATGAATAAATCATTGTTCAATTTAGATTTATAAATTGATTGCAAGTAAACAATTTTCAGATTTCTTAAAGATTCTAGATTTACAAATTATATAAATTAATTCCAGGTAGACAATTTTCAGATTGCCTAAAGATTCTCAAAAAACAAAGTTATGGCTTGAGTTCATGCAACAAACAAATTGTGAGCCAAAATATCTTAATTTTTTGTGTTCACGCCATTTTAAAGCAGATTGTTTTGATCGAACCTCAAAACTAAGAATAATACTTCTACCAACAGCTGTTCCAACAATAAAAGTGGTCCGGTTGAAGTATATAAGTAAATAAATTAATTACTAACTATATCATGTGTCGTTTTTTACGTATAATAGAAGTTTATTGTATGAATGTGATGCACCTTATATAATTTATTACAAAGTTATTTACAAAAACGAACACAAATAGAATTAATAACATCTCAAGTAAGGAAATAAGTAGCATATCGCATGCCTCAAGATACTGTCTTAGGTCCTATCTTGTTTAATTGTATTTTAAATAATTTGTCGTTTAAATACAGATGGAAATATTGTTTTTTAAGGCGACACAGTTATTCTGTAAAATGCAGAGAACTTAAATTGATTAAAATTATTAATAGAAAAAATCTTTGAATGGTTTAATTATAAAAACTTACAAATCTTTGATAAAACTTATGTTGTTCCATTATACATTTACAAAAATATGGCCTCTTCCTATAGAAACAATAAAAGGTATCGTTCAGTAGTTTTATATAAGTATTAGAAATGATATCAAATACCTTAGAGTACAAATTGACTCTTATCATAACTGGACTAAGCATACAAATAATGCGTTGAATGTACATTTAAAAATAGTCTATTTTGCACTCATAGAATCATTATTACGTTATAGGATCCTTTCTTGAGAAGGTGTTTTACCTGCTTATGCAAAATTGTCCTGCAAAAAATATTACTAATAATATTATGTAATAAAATGATCAGAAATTCTCTTTGATATTAGGAAATTTTATATGTACTCCAACAAAAACATCTAAGAAAGAAATATCACAGCGATGTTTGACCTAAATATAAGTATAGGATATTTAATTTTTTTTAACGCATATCTACAAAACATATTTATTTTTAGATTAATAAAGACATTGTCATAATAAAGACGTAAAAAAGTCAATATATTTTTTTAATACATTATTGCTTTGATTTTTCAAATGAAATCCCTCTATAAATTATCCCAAAAATATTTTCCTATATATATCCCACCCAACATGCAATTTTAAAGTAAAATTTATTCACATAATGAAGGTTAATAAAAAAAAATGCAAACTTCTTGCAAGAAAATAGCAATTCGTTAAAATGAGAGAAATCGGTAAATTTAGATAATATGCAAATAAGAATTTATTATTTTCTTTTCTACGCCCCTTTATGACAGACAGTACGTCACTGGTAGACCGGAAACACTTGTCGCCATATTCGTCTAGTTCACTGTCAAAATTAGATACCATCGCGATTCCAAGGTCGTTTAGGATTCCTCCTTCCTGACTATATGTATTCTAAGGTATATTCTATAATTTGGTATGTGGGTGATTTCGCAAACTTAGTCATTTGCGATCCAACAATTTTTTAATTTAGTTTTTTATAAAATTGCTTATTGTCCAAGAATATGTTTAATTAAAAATATTTCATACATCATCCCTATGGTTTCATCTTCCAACAGAGGTATAGGGAATTACCAAATCTTCAGTTTCATACATATATCCATATTCCTTAATAATATAACAGTTATAGATTAAATGAGAAAAATATTAACTGGTTGTTTTGATCTGTTCTATAAACTATAATAATAGTGTCGAATTGGGACCCCAGGGCCTACCGGTTCAGGAGAGAGAAGGGCTCACCTATCAATTTTTTTTAATACAAAAAAATACAAAAATATTCAAAAAATACAAAAAAAAACAAAAAAAAAACAAAAAAACAAAAAAACAAAAAAAAACAAAAACGCAAAAAGACAAAAAAAAACAGAAAAAGGAAAACAAACAAAAAAAAAACATGAAAACAAAAAGGTCCCCTTTGTTGTACACTGATGCTCTTTCCGAAGTTGCACGCTTTCTTCGCATTTGATTCTGTGTTCTTTTCAAGGACCCAGTGATTGAACGAGGGCCTACCGGTCCTTGGACTGGCAGACTGACGGCACAATTCGAGACTGTATAATAACAATTTTGATTAGCATTTTTAACTTACGTCATCTTAACTGTTTAATTTAATACTAATAATGAAACTCAAATATTTACCAATCAACCTTTTAAAATGATTATTATTTTACTTTGTTTATTGACATTTTCTATTATTAACTACTACGTCATAATTATACATTATTATTCTGCTTTTTCATGTAAAAATTGCATGTCTAGAGTTATCCATAGTCCATTTATTTTGAACTGTATTACAATAATAACAATAAGTAGGAAGGTGCAATAACCTAGTATTAAAAAGTAATTAAAGAGTTAATGATTGTTACGTTACTAATAATGCCCTATCTAGAATTAAGAAGTTATAATCACGTAGTAGATTTTTGTACACGATTTTTCAAATCTGTAATCAGTTAATTTTATTAATTAAAACTAAATTAGAGCGAGTTTTTTTTTCCCCTGAAAAATTACGTCAGGTGTTGTCCAATCTATCTTTAAATTTCCCGTATTTATTTTGAAAAGTAATCTTACGCTTTTTAATTGATCTATCACTATATATAGCTGAGGTTAATTATAGAAATGGTGATAACGACTTTAAGGTAATCAAGATTGTGCAATTTTTAATAGTCCTTATCAATTAACTAAAAATATGCACAATCTCTTATAGAATAAAATAATCTCAGTGATTCCCAAACAATAAAGTAATGTGAAATGTTCGACACCTGCCAGACAATAAACGGTGGACCTAAGTGTAACGAAGTGGCCGAAAAACTAGTGTCCTTGTTCGGTTGGAGACAGACTTATAATGTGGAAAAATTACAACGAAACGTACCCGGCAGGACTACAGCAAGGATATCTATCACAAGACCTTCCCCGTCTAGGGAGAATTCTGTTAACAAGGTAAGAAATTTAAGTTTGCTAATCAAAATATGAATCGTTAAGCAGTTAAATAATATCAGGTTTTTCTTTTAAGTGTACTTAAAAAACTACATTCTCATTTAAACTTATAATCTCCATTCCACCAATATTTTCCTGTCAAACTGCAAGTATAATATTGGACAAACGATGCATTATCTATACAAAATAATTAAACATCCTAGGGGTATTTCTTCTGTAAGAATCTTTTAATAAGAACTACTGTTAACGTGAAATTAATTTTTAAAGTGTTAATAATTAACTTCTATAAATTTTTCTTAATTTTTACTGACTAATTATTCGATTCCCTTCGTATTTCACATTTACATTCATCTGTTGTAGGGATAACCATTGCTCATGTAGCTGTCTTGGCAATTCGCGCATAATTCTCTTTCATGGAGACATTGGTGCTCGTAGATGTAAAATGTAAAACCCAGCCCCCCCGGGTTTTACATTTTTTTCCTCTTCTGAAGCGACTTTCGACGAGCTGGTTGTTTGTAATTATTTGTTTAAATTATCTAAAGCAGTAGTGTTTTATATATTTTATCTTATAAAGTGCGCGTTTGCCATAATCGTCATTCCGAAGAGCTCAATTCAGTTCTCGAGAATATCGTAGTAAATATCACCTCAGGGAGGAACAGAAACAAATTCAGTGACTAAAAAACTCATTCTCGCCCTGTATCCGTAACGGAGGGGGTTAACCGACTACACCTCGGCCTCACTAGGCTCATTGTGTATCCTCCTAAGTAGACAAGCAGCTCGTGAGCCGACCTACAGATTTAATGAACACACACACATACCTTACTTGAGCCCAAGTCGGGTAGGTTCCCATCCTGTTTTACTGGATCGAAACCCTCCTGAGGGAGGACCTTCTCCCCCAGGTGGTTTGTCGTCTGTTGCTCAGTCCTTGTCTGAATCACGTGTCGTATTCTGTAAGCGTATTCTGAAAGAAAATGCTGAAAAAGAATGCTGAAAGAGAAATCTCCTATAATCCGCTCTCTCGTACTCTGTTAGTTCTCGCAGTTCCATATTTGGGTGTGTCCTTAGTTTTTCGAAGGTGTCAGTGGCCTTCTTGTGAATAAGGTCTAGGACCCTTTTGGATTCTAGATCTCTCATAATCAAGTCGTTCCTAGTGTATCTATATGCATTTGAGGCCCATCTCAGGCTGATGTTCTGTTGAGCTTGAATCCTCTTCCTGTTTGTCTTACTGGTGTAAAGGATCCTCATTTTTGTCTTTAGTAGGAGTTTGCTCTTACGTCCTATTAGACAGTTTAGTCTTGATCTTGCCTGTTTCATCTTTACTACCATGTCCACGTGCTTGGTGAAGGTGAGTTTTTGGTCCATAATAACTCCTAGGTACCTGGCTGAGTCGGTCCATGGGATGTCCTGTCCATTCATCATTACTTCTTCTCCTGGAGGTGACGTCTTTTCTTAAACAGCACAGCCTGTGTCTTCTCCGCGTTGATCTTGATCTTCCATCTTATGTACCATTATTCTTTGTCTTCCGCTGCGTCTTGTAGATATAAGTCCTGGCTGTGTGCTTGTTGCCGTTATCGCTGTGTCGTCCGCGTAGAGGGACATGGTAGTGGTGACAATACCGCTCCTTGAGGTACTCCCGCTTCCGGAATTCCTGGTCTAGATAGAACATGTCCCATCTTGATCCGAAATTGCCTTCCGCCGAGGTACGACCTGAGCAACCTTGTCATACCTGTTGTGTACCCTTGGTCTTTCATCTTGAAAATCAGCCCAGCGTGTCATACTCTGTCGAATACCTTGGCGACATGCAAGAATATGGTTCCTGTGGACTGATTTGAGTTGAATCCTCTGGTGATCTCTTCGACGAGTCTCAGGACTTGCAATTCAGTCGAGTGTTCCTCTCTGAATCCGAATTGTTCGTCTGGTAGTATGTTCAGGTTTCTGGTTTCTTCTCTTAACCTTCTTAGAATAATTCTTTCCGCAATCTTACTCATAGCCGGGAGCAAGTTAATGGGCCTGTAATTTTGCAGTAATTTGGGGTAGTTGTTTGGTTTCCGTATCATAATCACCTCTGCTTGTTTCCACAGTCTAGGGAAGTACTGAGTTCTTAAAATCCTGTTAATGATGGTTGTGAAGTAGACTGTGGCTTTCAGCGGGAGATTTAATGTAGTTGACAACATCACCTCTTATTTTGCCGGTGTTAGCAAATTCTCGCTGAACTTAAATCTTCTAATAAATGAGAGCGTCGCGCAATCGTAGAGGATATGCTCTCAGCTTCTTGTTCGCACCCCCTGAAGAGTGGAGATTCTGATAGCGCCATGATATTATGGAGATGCTTCCATACTTGGCAATGTCCAGTCAGACTTCCTGGGATCAAACGTAGATTTTTGTCTAGTCATAGTCAAGTATTTGTTTGCTGTAGTGTTGTCAGGATAAATTAAAGCTCCAGGGCAAGTCTGCAGCTTTATATTTTATTCCATCTTTCCTTGAATTTGACAAGGGTATTCTTTAATTAGGTTTGTCACTACCGATGTTTTCAGTCCAAGAGAATGGCCAGGTCCAAAAAGTATTTGGTTGGATGCCTTCTTTGCTAGTGAATCAGCAAGACGGTTACCTTTCGATGTGGCATGACCTTTGATCCATCTTAAAATGACCACATTGTTGATGGATACTTCGTCCAAAGCTTCGTAATATTCTAGTACTAACCCTGAGTAAGTTCGTGGTCTGTCCAGGGTGAGTAGTGCTTGTCTGCTATCTGTGTAGATAAGCATGTTCCTTCCAGTAATATATGTCACCCTGTATATTGTAGATCAAGATTGAATCATATTTATATTTGCAGTGGAAATTGAAACACGCTGATGTAAATACACAATAATAAATAATTTTATATACTGTAATTTGGAAAATTTTACTCTTGCGACATAGTACTTTTTAATATTCAGCTGCAATTTTCTTTATAATTTGAGAAGACTTGGTATACTCGTAAATGTTAGTGCTAGTTGTTCCTGTTTGGCTGATGCTTGAAGTCAGCTTCAAGTGCTGACGAAGTTACATGTATTTTATGAGGCAAGACGCTGAAATGCATACGTTTCCAGATAAACGGTTCTATTTATGAACTTGTTTAAACTATTTCGTGTGAGTAAAATACGTTGTGTTATTAAGGAGATAAAAGATGGTACTACTATATTCTGTCTAATCGTATGGTTGATGTTTTTAATTAGTGCTATATTTTGACCCTTCGTTGCATTTTAACTTTTCTCAGCCGCACTTAAGGGGTACCCCTAAGGCTGATGTCGAAAAAAAAAAAACCGGTTCATTTCACAACTTAACCAGGATAAGTACAACCTTTCCTTTTCTAATAACATATGGAATTCATTAATAATTAACAGTTCTGTTGTTAATGTGTAATTCGTAATTTTAAAAGTGTCGACTTTACCTTTATTGGTACTAACACCTCCGTATTAATTGATTACTTTGTGTGTATATAACTCTGTACCCCATATTTTGATTGTTCCTTTACTAATCTTTATAACTTATCAATTAAAGTTTTAATTCACTATTATTCTTGTATTATATACCTGATGAAAACCCTCGGGTCGAAACCGGTTGCAATTTCTAATTTTTTGAGTATTAAATTTATGCGATACAGATTTGAGTACACTCCACGTTTTATTATCAATTTTGTTCACTAGGACCTTTCCAGATTAACAAATTATTAATATCCCCTCGTAATATGGTTCCTATTATACTAGTTCCTTCAAAGATTTATTCTTTTTTTTAATGTATGCCTGTAGGTACAGTTATACCACTTCCTGACGGATGTCATTAATAAACCAACACATTTTCCTTGTATATCAACATTACCAGCTTCCTATGAGCATTTCAAGATTCTCTTTAGAGAAAATCATTCCCTCAAGTCATTTTTACCTTATCGGCGTGAAATCATTTAATGCCATTTAGTGGTTAGATGAACATTTGTTTTTATTTCTGTTGACATCAGATACGTACCAATAATCGATGCGTTCCATAAACCTAGTTCTGTAATTTACGACTTTATTTTATAGTTTTGAGGCAGAAATATGGTTTCGTTTTTTTAATTGAAGTGAATTTAATAGTTGTTCCGCATGGTTGTTCTTTTAAAAATTGTTTAATTGTGCATAAATACCTGTCTGAAAATTGTACTACTAAATTGAAATTATCAGATAAATTTGTCCATATTTAATTTTTAATACCTTATACTGAGGTACTATTGGACATTAGAGTACTAATATAAGGTGGAGTGGTTCGAATCCAACTCAAGGCAACTGGACTTCTTAATTAAAAAAAAAACATTTTATATTATATTACAATTATTATACGTGGCCAAGAGCTTCCTCCATCTTGAATTTTGCAAATCTATTGAAACTATCCTTCCATTCTTAGAGCACTCGTCAGTTTGATATTTTCTGTAAGACCCAATCTACTCTTGCAAGTGTTAAAAAAAAATTAAGTTTCCTCATCTCCGCATCAAAATCTGCAACAAAGTCCATCCTGTCAGGCTTGTACTTTTAATTTTTGTTAAGACTGCATTGTACTGTGACCAACTGCTACTTTACTAGGTATTAGTCCCAATCTGGCTTAGTAGATGCTTCCTAAAGGTGAGACTCAGCTGTTCTTATGCTAGGTCTTCTTCACTGCCTGTATGTCCCCTGTCTCGATAGTAGGTAAAAAGACCATCGTCAAAACTCATCGAGCATCTACTAAGCCATAATAGGAAAGATACCAAAGTATCAATAGGCCTATTAAAAGGGCGTTGTAGACCTAACAAGCATATGTATAATATCGAAGAGGAAGAAACTGCAGTATACGTATTGTGCTACTGCAGTAATTTCTCAAAATATGCAGTGCGGCACTATTCAAAATAAAATTGAGCACTATTTAATGTGGTCAAGATGTCGCAACGATAAGGAAAATGTAAGAGATAATACATTAAATGTGGTTAAAATGTGTGCATCACAAATAAAATCATT